AAGTTTTTCAGAATGTGTTTATATAACTCCCACCTCTTTCATCCTGATTATTTGTTTAGTAAAGCAGCCTAGAAAAGATCAATCTCTATTTGGAGACAACTGTATTTAATAATCACACTGCCTAACTATGGAAAAGGATGAGAGAAACAGAACTAGGCGATCAAAATGCCAATGCCAAATAATAACTATTCTATAGATAAGAGAGAAGAGGTAACCTTTACTTGAGCCAAGCTGAGGATTATAACCTGGGAAGCCAGTTTCCACAAAGGAAGAAAGTGTTGTGGAGAAGTGTGGCTTTCAGTACCGTTTTATGCCTTTTTAGAACAAAGAACATACGTTAAACATGCCCAGGATACATTTTCATCAAAGTTTCAAAGAGCTATTCAGTTGCAAATTAGCAGGTCAACATGACCCTGATGTCCAGGAAAGAGAACTTGTCTTCAGGAGTACTGCTATGGTGTTGCCTGGTACTGGTGGGTGTAGGAGGGGACCTTTGCATTCTTATCTTCAAAGAGTGCATTCCTGTACTTCGAGATCGTGTTTAATTCATTCAGGAATGGTTAAAGCAGATGTACAATGTACATCTGCCAGGCTGTGAGTCAGGCTTCTTTAGCTGGAGCCCAATCAGTGTTGTACCAGAAGAGTTATCTCATGCACCTCCATATGTGAAAATCTCCTGTCAAACCCATTGTTGCAAATTTCAAATAACCTGGAAAGCCAAACACAAGTCAACAGCAGCGAGAATCCCTGAGAACGGGTTGAGACTCCTATCTGTCAGGAGTGGGTGGAGAGGTCCCACTCCCCCGATGAGCTCTCCCCCAACTTGAAGTTTTCAACAGGAATCACACATTGGGTTTCTTGTGATCAATCATGTCAGATACAATTAGTCCCCGCATTAAAAATATACAGCCTCCAGCATCTTGGTTTTAGGTGGTCCCATCAGAGAACAAGCCCTTTCCCATGGGCGTCGGCAAGTGACTCATGTGGTCCAGGCAGCATCCATGATGTTTTTACGGTTTACGGCCCCACAGAACGGTGTCTTAAATCCGTAATTGTCCCAGAGTCTGAGTTCTATTCACTGCGTCGATGTCTGCTTTCAGAGGTTGTACTAGTTCCTCGCAGCCGTAATCAGGTTTCAGCTCACCATCAGGTCCAAGCAATTAGAGTCTCTGAATTCAAGATTCCAAAAATGCCAGTGACTTTTCTTCTTTAGCAGCAGCAAAGCCTAGAGACTACAGGGCCAGACAGCGGGCTTCTAAATCCTTTGAAGCCCATTTTATCTTGTCAGTCCTACAGTCCAGATCAACACACTCAAAAATATGCCCCTTAGGCTGAAAAATCATCAGCCTCTAAGGGCCAGCCATCTGATTTTACAGGAACTTATTAGCAAACTAAAAACTGCTTTTTAAAACTCCAAAAGTATATTTTTTTGTGGAGATTATCTCTCTTTTTATGTTGTCCACTTTTCCCCATAGGCTCCAACAGGCAAAAATCATAGCAAAAATAACCAGTTACAGGGGCTGGCCCCGTGGCCGAGTGGTTAAGTTCCCGCGCTCCGCTGCAGGCGGCCCAGTGTTTCGTTGGTTCAAATCCTGGGCGCGGACATGACACTGCTCATCAAACCACGCTGAGGCGGCGTCCCACATACCACAACTAGAAGGACCCACAACGAAGAATATACAACTATGTACCGGGGGGGGGCTTTGGGGAGAAAAAGGAAAAAATAAAATCTTTAAAAAAAAAAAAAAAAACCAGTTACAGAGATTTCAATACGCAGATATTCAGAGTTTAAATTTTAACCCATCCACCAGCAGAAAAAGCAGGGAAGTCGAGTTCTACTTACACCTTTTCTAGGGCAGCTTTCTCTGATTGGGATAATCCCTTTGGCATTTATGAAATTACAAGCATATAATATTTTATATCAGTTTTTAGCCATACATCCAGAGGCAGTAGCCACACAATAAAAGCCATTTTAAAGTCTCTTTTTTTCTTCATTCCAAGTTTATTCAAACCCCTAGCAATAAATTCAACACTTTCAAGATAAACATTACAGCTGCTGAGAGATCTCAGCTGGAACGCAAGAGGCTGCTGCACCAGTGGATAGACTGTCCTTTTTCCCCTCTACTTTTTTTCTGATATATTTAAAGCTTGCCCCAGGCGTGGAACTGGCTTAATGTTTTCCCCTCCCACTTGGAGGTGTGGGCAATACAAACGTTTACTATTTCGGCTCACCCAAAATGTTTTTTGGGAATGTTTGGACCCTATCTCCTCCCACCTGGAAGAGAGAACAAAACTCGAAGGCATCACCCAGGCTGCACTTTTTAATCACTCACTTTAGCTACCATTGCCAAAAGTGGCCAACAGATCCAATGAGGCAGTTCTCCTGGGGCTGGGTCTGTTATTTTCGAATTCCGTAGGTAACTTTTACCTCTCACAACAGACGTCATCTCAGCTGCTGTTCCGTTCCACAGATGACTGGGTAGCCACTGGTCATTAAGTTCATCATTGTGATCCCTTCACCCTTCATTCTCCCAAACACTGCTAAAGCCATATTTCAGTGAGTCAGGTTGTTTTTAGAGAATCCCACTAATGACACTATCACCTTCAATTTGGGGATTTGCTAGATGAATCCACAGGACTCAGCATATAGTTGTACTTGTGGATAAGGTTTATTACACTTAAAAGATACAAAGCAAAACTAGAAAAGGGAAAGGCATATTGGGTAAAGACCAGGGGAAACCAGGAACAAACCTCCAAAAGTCTTTTTCCAGTGAAGTCCCATGGGATGTGCTTAATTCCTCCAGCAATGAGTTGTGGCAACATGTGTGAAGTGTTGTCTACATGCTCATTAGAGATTTAGTGCCCAGGGACTTTACTGGGTGCTGGTCATGTAGGTGCCCTGCTGTGGACTGATTGTGATCCTTCAAAATTTATGCATTGCGGCCTAATCCTCAGCGTGATGGTATTGGGAGGTAGGGCCTTTGGGAGGTAAACAGATCGTGAGAATGGAGCCCTCCTTCCTTAATTTTCTATGTTAATTTGACTGACTATGGAGTGCCCCGATTAAACATCATTTCTGAATGTGTCTGTAAGGGTGTTTCTGAATGAGATTGCCCTCTCCAGCATGGGTGGGCATCATGCAACCGTGTTGACAGGCTGAGTAGAGCAAAAGATCGAAGAAGGAGGAATTCACCCATTTTTTTCCTGCCTCACTGCTTGAGCTGGGACGTCTCACCTCACCTTCTCCTGCCCTTGGACGGGGATTTACACCATCGCCCCCTGGTTCTCAGGCCTTCGGACTCCGACTGAATTACACCGCCGGCTGTCCGGGGTCTCCAGCTTGCAGAGGGTAGACTGTGGGGCTTCTCAGTCTCTACCTGGATGAGCCAAAGCCTCATAACAAATCTTCACATATATATATATCTTTTCTTCTGCACATTCTCTAATATCCAAATTGTTTCTTTCTATAAGGCATTAAGGGAAAGATTCAGAACTCCAAGAAACAGATTTCACTCAAAGAGGTTTTAAAATCAAGTCCTATTTATTTTCCTCAAAATACTTTTAGGTAATATTTGGATAATATCTGCTCCAGTTTCTCCATCCCCTGACTATACTTTTATTTATTTTTGTTTCAGAAATTGGAAGAAAACACACTTCTGTCTTAGGAGGAATAGAAAAGAAGGGGTTTATCCATAGTTAAGTTTTGTGGACAGACCTGGTCTTGCTTCTCCAAGAGAAGTAGTTTGATTTCTTTCTTTAGTAACAGAGATAACCAACAGTGATGGCATATACTTATGACTTTTCCTTTCTCATCTGGATCATTGAGAACCAGGCTTCCTCCATTCTCTAATAAAACTATTACAAAGTAACAGGCATACATCTCTCACCATTTAAAACAAGAAACAAAAATGTTGCAAGCCATTTAATGCTTTGGATACTTCCCCTTAGTAATTTATAGATTGAGGTACCATCCTCTGGGAACGTTGGCCACAATTATTAAGCCCATCTTTTCGCAGCTCAAGTAAGATTTTTCGTATGGAAGATGGCCAGGAATCCCTCTGCTTAGAAATGTGAGGTTTCCCCAGGCTCTCTTGGAGCACTGGCAGAACGGTGGGGAGAGCCTGGGCTTGGTTGTTCTGCTCCTTGCTTCAAACTTGGCTGTGCTGCTTAGTCGTCATTTCACCCTGGGCAGTGATGATGTCTGTGAATCTGTTTCCTCATCTGTAAAATGTGACGCAAGTCTCCCAGTCACAGGGTTTTTACAATGAAAACAGCGTATGGAAAATCCTTGGCTCCATGCCTGGCACAAAGTAGGGGCTCAATAAATACAACATTCTCCTTACCCTGAAGAAAAGCCCACTAGAAGACAGGGACTATAATGCTCGTAGAAGCTTTATTTATAATAGCCCCAACTGGAAACAACGCAAATGACAGTCCCAAATGACCATCAGTAGTAGACTGAAGGAAAAAAATGGAGGATATTCACACGATGTTATATTATACAGTATGAACTACTGTTACTGCAAAAACAGATAAATCCCACCAACATAATGTTGAATGACGCAAAATAATGCATACTGTATAATTCCATTGAAAGAAAGTTCAAAAACAGGCAAAATTAATCTATGGTGACAGAGGTCAGAATTGGTAACCTTTTGGAGAGAAGATGGATTGGAAGGGGGAAGAGGGAACCTGCTGGGGTGGAGATGTTCTGTCTTCACCTGCATGGTGGTGATTATACGGGGGTATATGTGTGTACAAATTCATCAAACTTTGCACTTAAGATTTTTACATTTTACATATGCATGTGCATTATTTACATTTGTGCATGTATAATTAATACATCCAATCAAAAAAATGCTGCCCACTTTGCGCCAGGAGCTGGATTTTATATCAATATCAATTGTATTTTTCAGGAGAGTGTCTAGCTCTAGATATGACAGGCCAATAGCTGGCCATCCTGCAGGCTGCAGTCTGTCCCTTGTGAGTGGCCCCATTTCAGAGCTGGCATGGAGCTGACAGGCATATTGTGAGGGTCATGCTCCATCATCATTGACAGCTGGAGAAGCCATCACATGCCATCGGCAGCAAAGCACAGGGAAAACCAGGCAGTGGACCGTGCTTCCCGCCCTGAGGCTGCGAGGCACGAGCCCCAGCAATGGAAGGATTAAAAGCCTCTCAATTTAAAAAGACAGGGGGAGGGGAGGAGAATGTGGGCTGCACAATTTATAAATAGACATTACCGAGGCTGCCTGATGGTGAAGTGGTTGTTTAGTAAATCTTTCTCCTTTAAGGATCCCATTATCGGAGACCATTTGAAAATACCAGTTTTATTTCGTCTTTTGGGGGAGATCCTGGGTTTCATCCAGTCAGCCCTGTTGGATGATATTTCTCTCTGCCAGATTCGGGGACAGGCCTTCAATATTTTGAATCACCTTTACATGGAGCACAGAGATGATGATGATGAGGATGTGTCTTTTGCCAAATGGATGAGCAGCTTCTGGGGTCACAGCTGGATAGAGGAGGATGAGAGGGGCCTCCGGGACCGCCACCGATCGCAACACGCCAGTTACAGGAAAACCTCCCTGCCCTGCCCAGTGAGTTACCATCCCGGAACCGGGAGAGCGGGGCTGGGGAGGGGATTTCTCCTACATAATCTTTGGAGGTTCCTTTGGTATGAAGTTTTCTTTGGTTGGAAATCAGTACTTCCAAATCTTTTTTATACCCACAAAAATCACTTTTATCATTTTATGTTGTCCTCCAAGGGACCTGATTTTCATCTATTTAGGTAATGATTTCTTCATTTTTAGTAGCCTAAGATATCTTAACTGCCATTCAGAGTTTCTGATAAGCCAGAGATAATCCTGCTGTGTGATGATATAATTCAAGCAAAAGGAAAGAAACTTGAGGGTATAGCTAGTCTGTGTAGCATTGATGTGCACCAACGTGTGATTCCCAATCGTCTTTTTGAAATACTGAAAATAGCTCCACTATTTGGTGACCTCTAAGGAATCGGGGATTCCACATAATAAATCACTACGTTGGGTAAATTTGATGTACTTTTTCTTCTCGTTCCCAGTGGTTTCCTGACAGGAGAGAAACCCAAAAATCCTCACGCCCTCAGCACTGTTTTCCCATGGCCGGGCAGAGCACCCAGTGTCCAGGGAGCAGGAGGCGAGCAGGAAGGCTCCTGAGACGGGGGTGGGTGGGCCTGACCAGGGGAGGACTGGGTGCAGGTGCAGGCAGCAGTTCTCTCGGCTCAGCAGCTGCGCCAGAAGATGCCACCGTTAGATGTGTGCGGCTCCTGCTTCACAGTCACACAGTGATCACAAGTCACTTAGAATTCCAGCCACCAGAGGATACTTCCTCAAGCCCCTGCTTCTGCCAACCCCAGAACCAGGGAAGTTTTGGAATAACGTTGTTTTATTTTTAGCCCCAGCATCCCTAGATGCGTAATGCCTGTGAGGTAATGTGTGTAAGGCAACCTCTTACTCCCAGTGATCTGCGAGTTTGAGGAAGGAGACCTCTCTGAGACACACATATTTGAAAATAGATGTCTTACCAAATGTGGGCTCAGGAACAAAGGGCAAGTTTTAACACCTCTTTGAGCTTCTGGTTCCTGACATGAAAAAGAAGAGGGTTGGACTCGATGATCTCAGAGAACCCTTCCAGCTCTGACGTCCCATGATTCTGTCATAAACACCTGCTTAGCACACTGTCATTTTAATCTCTTTTGGTCCACACTGGGTGAGGTATTCATATGTGTGAGCCAGAAGTGTGACTAGTTCCCAGGTTCCAGATAGTGGGAACCAGGGAGGAACAAAGAGAAAAATTCTGATTTACTATTTATCACAACAGCCATTTGGAACCACAGGAAATAGGAAAACAAAGGAAAAAACGTGACTAATAAAATATTTCTTGAATAAATCTTAGCTTCTGTTAGGCTTATAAAACTGAGATAATCCACCTTATATAGAGAATCCACTTTTAAGTTGCAAGGTTGTTTGCCTTAAACTATTAGAGAATGGCAGAATTTGTATACATATGTATACAAGTGTACACATATGTGTAACATTTCTGAATGATGTCCAAGTATCTTTTTCTGCTCATATCAGCTTTGGGCATTTGCCTAAATTAACCTGTTTAGATTCTCTGAGTAAACAGCACATTCCATAATGATCAGAAAGCATGCGTTTATTTAGGGGGACAAAGCATGGAATAAAAGTGACAATCTGAGTGAATAAAGTAGAGCGTGCACAAGCACAGAGCACAGATCCAGGGTACCCAGGGTGACGTGCACAGAGCTGGGAAGACAGTGAGGGAGTCTGATTGTTTGCTCTCCACTCATAGACTGCTATACATGTGTGAAGTGAATCTGTAGTTGGATCCTTAATTTTCTTAATTGTAATATGTACTCAAATTTTTCTTACTTTAGTGATACGGGAACAATCAGGTTTTCATTTTTTGTGTTTTGCTTTGAGCTCAATGAAAATAAGTTAAACAGAAAAGTTTACTCTTAGGCTTATCTTTTTCTTCTCTCTCCACCACTCCAATGGAAGATGCTGCCCTCTCGGAACCTATTAATCACCTACATCCATCAATAACACATGCATTTAATCACCCACATCTGTCAGCAACACACGCCTAGGAAGAGAAGGGTTTCCTCTTCTTTTCTGTTTGATCGTGGTTTCTAATAAGGCTTTGTCAGCCTCATGATTCTTTCAGAACCACAGTGATGAAGTCTTATTCATTGTGTATTTTTGTTGGACACTTGCCATGCCCCAGGCATTGTGCAGGGCACAGGAGGATCACAGGGTCAAAGTAGACGTGCGTGGTTTCCATGCTGTGGAACTTCCAGTCCAGGGGAAAAAACGAATTTCGCAGACAGAACAAGGTAGACAAGAGGTAAAGCTTGGTCCTTCTCAGAGAACACCACCTTTTGACCAGACTCATTATAATCTATGATTGCTAATTTAAAGCGAATAAAAAAGTCTAACTTTACTGTCCTGATGTCCTTGGTGGAAAAAAAAGAGTAATAGGAAGTCTTTCTTGTTAGTAAACTGATCTGCGTGCTCCCTCCATCACCACGTGAATATGAACCTGAACTAAAACAGTTTCCCTATCACTTGTTTATTTGCTCATCGAAAGTAGATTTTTAATACTTTATTCAGCTTTCTAGTCGTCTTCTCCTTCAGCTTAACATGGTTCTCTTAACGTCGTTCTGTATAGTTTGGGCCGGTGGGGGGCGATTACACTAAAGGAAAGACCACTTCAAGGAGAAGCAGCGTGCCTGGCCTAGGGCTCTGCCGACTCTGAACAGCCTTTCTCAAGCCTTCTTTGCTCCGAGGCAGGCACAGTATGTGCTTGCCTGCATGATGTAATTTGAGGGGCTACAAAACAAGCCTCTACACCCAAGGATTGTTTTGCTTTTTATTTTTTTAAAAAATCACTTTTAACCCATTCTATATTTTTGCTTCCTATTGTCAATTTAAAGCAGTGGCAGATATTTTTTTTTTTTTTCTATCCTCGATTGGTCTGAAGGTGGCTGCACAGTCTCACCATTAGAGTGTCACGTTACAGGAGGGGTTCTCCTGCAATTGCTCACTGCAGGGCTGGGTGGGGCACAGCCCCCTCAGAGGATTTCTCACAAACCTGGACAGGGAAGTGTTGACCTAAAGTTTCATGACACACAGAGGTTTCTTGTTTTTCAGATTAAATTTATTTAATTTCAGTGGGAGACAATGCCTTAATCCAGAGAAAGGAAACTAGTGACACATTGCAGGCATCAGTGACGGCTCCATAGAGGAGCTTTTAGCGTAGTGTTCTGCAGACTTGTTCTGTCTCTTCTACTAGATGCCAAGGCAGAGGAGTGGCCAGAAAGGCAGCAGAATGGGGTGGTTAAGAGGGAAGCTCTGTGTTGGCCTCCCAGCCCCTACTACCAGCAGCTTAACCAAGAGCAGCTATTTCACCTCCCTCTTTCTCAGAGTCCCTGTATGTAAATGGATTGATGACAGCACTGTGTACCTTTAAAGGGTGTTGTGGAGATTCAATGAGTAACGTATATGAAGAGCTTAGGACAGCACCTGGTACCTAATAAGTACCTATTCCTCTTCTTATTATTATGTGTCAGAGGTATTGATACTTGGAAATGTTTTTCCAGATGCTTTCAGTTAATTACTGCAAAAGTTTCTAGAGTCTTTCATTTTGCCTTTCCCTCATTGTCTTTAGTGTGTCTCTTTCTTTTTACATTACAATGTAATGGGAAGATGGTTGGAAATTTTATGTCGAAGATTGGCATACGGCATATGTTCTGTTATGTATCGAATGTTTGTGTCCCCCCCCAAATTCATCTATTGAAGCCCTAACCCCCAACATGACAGTATTTAGAGATGGGGCCTGTGGAAGGTGGTTAGGTTCAGATGAGGTCATGAGGGAGGGGCCCTGCAGGATGGGATTAGTGCCCTTGTAAGAAGAGATACTGGAGAGCTTGCGCTCTCTGTCTTCACATCTGTGTCCCAAGGAAAGGCCATATGAGCACATGAAGAGAAGGTGGCCATTTGCAAGCCAGGAAGAGAGCTCTCACCAGGAACTCAATTGCCATCACCTTGATCTTGGATTTCCCAGTCCTCCAGAACTGTGAGAAATAAATTCTGTTCTTTAAGCCCCTCAGTCTGTGGTATTATGTCATGGCGGCCTGAACTGACTAAACGTGTTAATACCAAGAATAACGCCCGGACAGTGGAGAACTAGTGGGGAAATATTACTGCACAAGACTGAATTTAGTGCCATTGGGGTTATGATCTCAGTGGCATGTGGTTTAGATGAGCTTACTTTGGCTATTTCAGTTTCTGGATAAACAAGACAAGTCCTTGAATTGTCCCCTGGGCAAAGGTTCCAGTGTCTCAGGCATGAGCATCATAAGCTCCAGGGAATTGCTTCTGTTGCTCTCCCTTGTTTAGCAAGCTGTGGCTTATGATAAGTCCTGATGACAGTTTCACATTGATTTACAGTGTAACAGTATGACAGAGCAGGGTCCATTCGTTTCTCCAATTTTAAAAATATTTATTTTACTGAACAGTTTAAAACATCCCCGAGACCCCCTAAAGGATGCCCAGTGGATGGTATTGAGCCTACATTTATTATTTCTAAAAGAGCTACCATTTTACCAGTTGAACACTTGCATCTTTTTTCTGATGCTATTTCCATGTGTAGCTAGTCTGCTAATTCACAGCCCTCTTGGCTTTGATGATAGCATTAGACTATGTATAAATGTTCTTCACGTGAAATTCCTTTACGCTAATTCCTAAAGCCCTAGAAATTACTATTATTACTCTGGTACTAGAATTCTGTTATAGGTGGTACGCTGTTAAAAATCCCATTTACAGGTTGTTTCACATGGAGATAGAATGAGTTGTTGCTCCTGTTCAAGTCAAAGCTGAGGATTATTAACCCAACAATGAGACGTCTGGTGCTTAGGCCAGACTCTTTGTCTCTCCAGGAAAGGCACTAGTCACGTAAGGCGTAGCTAAGTCATTTAGTTAAGCTGTGATAAACTTTCTTCAGCTGTAAAAGGGAAGAAGGACCCCCTTGTAGGATTTGTTCGGAGGTGAGAGATCAAGGACAGGGTCCCTGGAGTGCCTAGCACACGCTGTGACACTAACATGGGTCGTTTTATTCCAGCAGGTGGATCTTTCTCCTCACTGTCTCTCACCTTGCTATTGCAGGTTGGCCTGGTGCTTGCATTTACTTGGAGGGCAGGAGGGGTCCGGTGGAAGGGGGACCGCAATTGCAGGCAGGATACAGAGTGTGGAGAAGTTAGCTCTTGAAGTAGAGATGCTGCATGATCAATTTATTTGTAAGGGGGAACCTATGACTGGAGTTCAGGGAGAGCATAGGATTTGTCTTTGACAGAAATGGTTCTCTGGGGCCACAGGGGAAACAGCTATGCCATTTGGAACGCTCTTCTGTAATGTCAGGGCAGTGGGTAGTTACTGCCCCCAAATTGCAATGCCTGCTGCTGGCTTTGTAGTCTGGGGGCCAGGGAGCCCCGCTGCTGAGCCCAGAGAGTAGGGGTCCCATCCCAGTGTCAGAGCCGGCTTCACTGTGTGGGAGACAGACCAGGAAGGCAGTCCACGGCCGTAGAGGAGACAAGTACACACTTTGTAAAAATAAGCTATTTAGGGCGTTGATTCATATCTTTGTGAGGGAAATTTCCTTAGAACGGCTTATGAAATTCCAGGAAAAAATTAAACATTTTTAAAAGTAGGAGCTTCTCCCTGTAACCAACTAGAATGCTCTTTTAAGCTTGTTTCCCGCAAAGACCCACACCAAAACAACAAACTGGAAAGCCCATCGATATAAGGAGGTATTAAGGGTGTACTCTATTCATTTGCGATCCATTCTTTACGGGCCTCTTAATGGGAGAGGACATTTGTTCAAACATCTGCATTTCACTCCCAGTTTCAATGTTTAAATTTTATTTTAAAAATTTTGTTGTGGTAAGAATCCTTCACATGAGAGCTACCCTCTTGGCAGACCTTTAAGTGTACAATACGGGTCTGTTAACTCTGGGCACAATGTCGTACAGCACATCTCTAGAACTTACTCATCTCGTAGGACTGAAATTTTGTACCCGTTGATCAGCAACTGCTCACTTCCCCTGCCTTCAGCCCCTGGCAACCACCGTTCTGTTTCTTGCTTCAGTGAGTGACTATTTTGGATACTTCACATAAGTGGATCCTGCACTATTTGTCCTTCTGTGTCCCAGACTCAAATTTTTAAGGAATTATTATTTTTTTCCTGATAATATAATACACAGTCACTGAAGAAAACTTAGGAAATACTAAACAAGAGAAGGAGGGAAGCAATCCCGCATCACAGAGGACACTTTTGATTACAGTTTGGTGCGCTCTGGGCACCATCTTGTGGCGTCACCCTATGCCGAGCCCCTCGACGCCTCCCCGTCCAGCCCTGCTCACGTCTCCCAGGCTCAGAGCTCCTCAGACCCACTGCTTCTCTTCCATGCACACCCCTCCTTCCGTGGCAGGGCCTCTGCACACACAGTGTGCGTCCTCAGCCAGAAACGCATTCCCTGTTCCCTGCGTATCCCTGCTCCTCCTTCAGATTGTGGCTTAGTAACCACACTTACACAGAAGTCTCCCCTGACCCTCCCCGTCACCCCGACACCCACCCAAATATACGCAGTTTACTCTGCTATACCCTCTCACTGCCCCTTGACCTTTCCCTCTAGAGCGTCTGGCTGAGGATGCAGGCACGTGCCTTATTTGTTTAATGTCTATCAAGACGGGCACCCTCTGCCTATTTTGCACCCCAACTTATCCACAGCATGAAGTACTGTGTCTGACCTACAGTAAATGGACTACTATATACAGATTTACCTCATGCATCTTAGCAGCTTTACAAATCTTTAACCTGATTATTGTTTGAGAGTAAGTTCTAGACACGAGCATTAGTTTGCTAGGGCTGCCATAACAAAATACCACAGACTGGGAGGCTCAAACAACAGAAATGTATGTTCTCACAGTTCTGGAGGCTGGAAGACCAAAATCAAGGTGTTGACACGGCCGGTTCTCCTGAGGCCTCTCTCCCGGGCTTGCAGAGGCCTCCCTCTCCCTGTGTCCTCACGCGGTCTTTCCTCTGTGTGGGCACATCCCTGGTGTCTCTCTGCATGTCCAAATTACCTCTACTTGTAAGGACACCAGTCAGATGGCATTAAGGCCTACCCAAATAGCATTGCACAATCTGAGCTACTGGGGGTTAAGGCTTTCACATGTGGATTTGGGGGGACACAATTCAGCCCACAACAATGTGTAATGGATGGATCAAAGGAGGGGAATATTTTAAGCCTCTTGACACATACTGCTAACGGCTTCCTAGGAAGGCTGTGCACATTTGTAATCCTACCAGCAAGGTATGACATTGCCAGCCCCTTGCACTCTTGCCAGTGTTGGTATCATTAAGAAACACTCTTTTTTGCTAACTTGAAAGACAAAATTGTGTGTTATTTAATTTCACATAATCTTTGACTACTAATAAGCATATACAATTTTTACCGCTTGGTAATTCTTTTTCTTTCATTCTTTGTACTTTTACTCATTCAATATGTATTTAACAAACGCATGCTGTGAATAAGGCAAGGTGCTGTGTACTGGGATTCTGGCAGAGGATGAAACGTGGCCTTGATGTGATGGAGCGTACAGTCTAATGGAGAAGAGAGACACATAACAAAATTACCCAAATTATTGATTACAGTTGTCCTAAGTATCAGAGAGGAGAAGTATGAGATCCCAGGAGAGCATCCAACGGGGATCTGGACCAATCGGGGGAAGGAAAGGCTTTCTGGGGAAACGTGGCTTCCGTAATGACTGAAGAGGTGAAGGGATGGGGTGGCGGGTGAGGTGACAGGCAGAGAGGACCACCTGTGAAAGGCCTGTGCTGGGCAGAAGCAGGTGAGCTGAGGAACTGACTGAAGACCAGCAAGGCTGTGTCACTGAGGGGTCGGGGGTGCAAGATGAGGTGCAAAATGACAAGCGGTCAGGTACGGGTTTGTTGTTGTTTTAACTATTCTGGCTGCTGTGTGAACAATGAAATAACGTGAGTACGAGTGGATAGAGGGTATCCACTATGGTGACTTGTATTGGGGTAGTAACAGTGGTGCTGGAAAACCAGCTGGAAAAAAGGTGAATTGTCCTGACAGACACTTGAGAGGTGGGATCTGCTGATTTGGCAGTTGGATGTGGAGGGTGGCTCCTTGAGTGACCGGTCTGGGTGACCAGGCAAATGGTGGTGCCATCTTCTGAGTTGGGGACACTTGAGGAGCAGGTTTAGGGAGGAGAGATGATGGGTTCGGATTTGGACAAGTTAGGTCAGGTGCCTATGGGATACCAAGAGAACCCGAGTGGGCAGAAGCTCAGAGGCGAGGCCTGGGCTAACGACATAAATTAGGAAATCGGATTATAGCTAGGAATTGAAGTCCAGGGGTGAGATATTTAGGGAGGCAGTGTAGAGTGAGAAAGCAAAGGAAGGGAAGGAAGGCTAGTTTAGAACCTTGGGGAACCCCAGCAGTTATGAGCAACTAGAAGGAGAAGTGAGCAAAATGTCTAGAACACGGTGGCGAAAGATGAAAGGGAAACCAAGAGGTGTGGTGGTAGAGGCAGGGGAAAGGCTGCACGAGCGGGGCCCTCTGGGCTCCGGAGTTGAATGTGCTGAATGACTTGAGACCACGAAGTGCACGGAAGTTGGCAACATGGAGACCAGTATCCTGACCAAAATTAGCTATGGAGGCAGAAGCTGGATTGGAGCGGGTTGGAGAGTGAGAGAAATGGAGAGAGCGAGTGTCACAATTCTTTCAAGAAGTCTGGCTTCTCTGAACTGTCCCTGTCCATTGATCGTGTTCCGACTGTGATTTTAGCATTGATGTCAGTGTATTATATGACCTCTGTGTTTGTCTGTATTGTGTGAGATATATTTTATTTATATATATTTATATATTCAGGATGCTTATTAAACATTAGTAATGTAGCAAATACTTTTACAGTTTTTTGTCTACTATTTAATTTTGTTTATGTTACTTTTTACGCACATTAGCTTTATTTTTATATGGGTAAATTAATTTTTTCCTTATGACTTCTTCCACTGCTCCTTTGCTTAGAAATTCCTTCTCCATACAGAAATCACATATTTACCTTTGTATTATTTCTTAAATATTTATGGCTTCATTAAAAATTTTTTGCGATCATTTTGGAATTTATTTTTACCCATCATTTGAAGGTGCGGAATGCTCCTCCGAATGGTGGAGGAGCCACAAAGCTGGTCTTGGGATGGACCAATTGACCCTACTGCCTCATTGTAGGAGAAAGTTCTACTCCTCAAGAAGATAACATTTTAGTTCAACACGAGATTTGTTTAGTTAGTAATTTTTGGATATTCTGTCTCCGAGCTAACATTGCACAGTTTTTTTATATTGTAAACATTTTTATTCTGTATTCCCAGTTTCCTGTGCTTCCCAGAATCACATCGTCTGACAGCCATCCTAGAAGGCGTTCTCATGAGGACCAGGGATTTCAATGCCGAACCCACATGCAGGATTACAGAAAATGTTCAGGGGACGGGTCATTCAAAGAGCCACTGGAATCAACAGGAAGATCCCATTCCAAAATGCAGGCATTTTCAGAGTCTTCTGAACAGCAACTGTGCTTTAGGACCAAACGCTCTGTCTCTTTGGTACGTAACACAGTTACTGAATATTTAAACCACTTTAGAAAAGGAAACCCAAAGGACTCACCTTCCCAAGTTCGAGGAGGACAACCTAACTTCTGCCTTCACAGCTTGGGGATGAGATCTTTGAAAAATGGCACTCAGTTTTAGATAGTCCAGATGTACATAAATTTTTAATTATTATTTAATAATAACAATTATCAATTATTTGTTTTGTTGGAGACATCTTGTGTCAGAAGAATTCCTGGAGGGCCATATGTGGAATGTTTTTGTAACCAAGGTCCTCTAGTTCTTTGAGACTTTCGTCACCCTCGAAACAAATAACTGTGACTCGTTCTCCTTTCCCTATTTAAAGAGAAAAACTGCCCCCATTCTTCTGTCCTTTCCTATCTAACCCAGCAGCAAACAGTCTATGACGGTGCTGTGTCACCTGTACTTTTAGAAAGCACACAGGAGGAACTCTCTGGACACTATCTGGTGAGCATCCAGGAGGAGGAGCAGCTCAGGTGCTCACGCTGGCCTCCTGGGCGTCTGAGTAAAGTAGAAAGAGAGACAGGCATGGACTGGGGAGGCAACAGAAACTCCACTGACGATGCCAAACTTGATATGTGAAGTAATGAACTGGACATCAGTTTGTTGGGGGGTAGTTTTTCAACTCTGTAACATCCTCACTGAGTGGCCTTGAGCAGAATACTTCTTTTTTGTGAGTCTTGGGTTTTTTGTTTTACTTTGCAAAACAAGAATAATATGTTTCTGCCAGGCGGTAGGTGGAGCAAATAAGTGAACCTAGGTGTATTGCCCCCAGGTTCTTGAGCTCTGCTCTGTGAATGCACAGGGGAAGATGCTTGTGGGATGCTGCCGACCTCATTGTCCATCTGAGTGCAATGCTTTCTACGTGGCACTCATGGTTGTTGGGACTGTCACCATGCACCTTTGCCTCATAGGTGACGTCTCACTTGTCAGAGCGACCCTGTGTGTCTATTATTCCCTCTCAGTAGGCTGCTCTCTCCACCTGATCATGAGAGGAATAAGGAGGGAAGAATAGTGAGCAGCTGTCACTTAATATCTAAACCTTATAAGAGCTCCTATTTACAGGGCTGGCCAGCGGCCGAGTGGTTAACTTCGCGCGCTCCACTTCGGAGCCCCAGGGTTTTGCCAGTTCGGATCCTGGGTGTGGACCTAGCACTGCTCGTCAAGCCACGCTGAGGCAGCGTCCCACATTGCAGAACTAGAAGGACCCACAACTAGAATATACAACTATGTACTGGGGGGCTTTGGGGAGAAGAAGGAAAAAAAAAGATTGGCAACAGATATTAGCTCAGGGCCAATCTTTTAAAAAAAGAGTTCATATATATTTAAATAATGTTTCTTAAAATATGGTTTCAGACTTAGAGCAATGTTGCAAGAATATTACAAAGAATATACCATTCATCTTGACTCCCTCCAAATGTTGACATATCATATTTGCCTGTACCCTCTCACTCCTTCCCACCCCTAAACAAGGGCACAAGAACGTTCTCTTACATAAGCACAGTACAATAATTAAACTAGGGAAATTGATACTGATGCAATACTTTCATATATAATCTGTCATATCTGACCAGTTGTCCCAATGATATTCTTTATAATGAGATTCCAGATCACATGTTTCAACCTCTAATCTATTTTATTCTGGAGCATGCCTGGGTCATCCTTGTCTTTCTTGACACTGGCATCTGAAGAGTGCAGCCCAGTTCTTTTTTCAGAATGACGCTCAATTTCAGTTTATCTGATATTTTCTCATGATTAGATTCAGATTATGAGCTTTTGGCAGGAATAAAACAGAAGTGAAAGAATTCCTGTTTTAAAACTACGTGTTAAAGTCATTAATTATATGAATTCAGGAGACCTACCTGCCTCAAATTCTTTCTGGAACAAGGTAGAGTATAAATATACTTTGAAAAAAATTTTAATCTGAACAGTTCTTTGTAGACTCTGCCTCAGAAAAAAGTCCATATCACAATACACAATCTTATATAACCGCTTATATGAAACCATTTGCTAATATTATTATAAGCACTAAAAGTGTGTAAACGTGAAATGTTTTCTTGTTTAAAGAGACATTCATCACATTATTCCTAAAATACAAAATATGCTTGTTCCATTCATTTCCCAAGTTCTTCCTTTTTGAGTGTCAAGATAACTAATGCAGCATTTTCAACTTCTTGGACTCAAGAACTGTTTTCAGAGTTATGTGTAATAGCTAGAAACCTGCTAGAGAGTTACAAAATAGTTGAAATTTTTTCATTTTATATGATAAATATATATGATAATTTTGTTACGTATCTTATTTTATATCAGTTTGTAAAGTGTATATTATACAGTTTATCTGAATGCAAAACTAAAAATTCAGAACATACGCAGATACCTTAAAACTTCCTATGTGCAATGCAGTCAACACATTTTTCTAAAGCGAGCTGCATTAAAAAATGTGATTTTTCAGCAAATTTGAAAATGATATATACTGTCTTTTGTCTGGGGGCCAAATGTATACTAACATGTAGATTTAAATTTTACATCTTTTAGCATCAAGAAGAACTAGAAACTGCTTTTGGGACTTGTGATATCTGTCATTGCACTTATCACTACCTGACGTTTCCTTGTCTCCCTTTAGGCTCGTTGAGTGATTGTCTGTCTCCCTCCGCCCGGGTGCACCCTCTGGGAATCCGGGTCCCTCTAGTTAGTGCTGTACCTCCTGATCCTAGGACCACGTACGCAAGCAAGACGTCAGTGAATGTGGACCCCAGCAACCTCGTGGGGAATGTCAGTGCTCTTGGATGTCGTTCCTCGACACCGCATACTTCTCAGTCCTCACACTGAAACTTGGTGCAAACCCTACTGTTCATGCAATTGAAGGGAGTGGACCTGGGGAGGTTAGAATCATCCCATGTATGATTCACTTGCCACATTCCTTTTCAGAAAGAGCCAGGAGACTATTAATTTTTTGTGTGTGGTGAAGTCACATCCCTCTATACGTCAGAGGCAAAGTGTCAGAGTCGTGTGCAGGCTGATTTCCTCCACAAGCCCCTCGGTTCCTTTGGTTTAGGACTAGAACCTTTAGCAACACCCTTAGGCTTATGCTAATTCTTTACTAGACACTAAGGTGTGGAATCCGCCCAACGATCAGAGCTTTCTTCATTTCTGCTAATTAGGAGAAACGTGGAACGTTGTTGGCACATTTCTACCCTTTCCTGACCCCTGTCTTTCAGGGACCTGAGAGCAGACAGGAGAGAAATGAACGAGAATGCCTGAGGATGGAGACAGGATCCTGTAAGAAAGCAGAGGAAAGAAGGAGCTGCAAGAAGACAGAGCACAGGGAAGCATACATGGCCGCCCTGTTTGAAAAAGGGCCCAAATAGTACTGTTTCCACATCACGACTGCAGATGCCACTATGTTTCTTGAGTTCCGATTCACCATGCCAAGGGGTGGAAGCTGCAAAAGTATCTGCAGATGCTGAGTGACTGGAGTGGGCGGTTCGTTCGGCTGTTCCCCAGGACAGCTTGCGTCATACTCCACTGCTCTGGCATCTTCGTCGAGAGTGTGATCTGCTCTGTTGCCCTTTTATGGGAATAAGAAGAATAAAAGGTATTTTAATAGAATAAAGTAATTCTTGACAACGTAAAGAAAAGTATTTAAAGTGCCACCCACACATCTTCCCCAACCTTCTTCCACATCAACCTCGGAAATAATTTTAAATAAAAGTCATCGGTGTGACGCTAAGTTTACTTCCTTATTAGAAATAATTATGTGAGTATGTCTGACGGTCACCATTTAAGGAGAACTCGTAATTAACCTGACAAGTGCTGTGCTGAGCTCTTTAATGCACCACGTAAAATAATCCTCACCGCTCTGAGGTGGGACCTATTCTTTTTTCACTTGCCTGTGGAGGAAACTGAAGTTTAGAGAAGTTCAGTGCTCCCTGGTGAGGTGGCAGTCAGGGCCGGAGCCCAGTTCACGTGACTCGTGCTCCTTGCCGGAGGCAGGACCTTCGTCTCGCTTTGGCAGTGGGTCCTGACTCAGGAGGTGTGTGACCTAGTGCAGGTGAGGAAAGTGGGAATTGAGAGTAGCACGGGATTTTGATGGCACAGGTGCAGACTGATTCTCTGAGGTCAGCTTTATGCTCTGGGCTTTAACTTTATGAGGCCATGTTCTTATTTATTTATTTATCATTTATTTTTTATTGAAGTGGAATTGACATACACGTTATATTAGTTTCAGGCGTACATCATGATTCGATATTTGTGTATATTGTGAAATGATCACCACAGTAAGTCTGGTTAAGATCCATCACCACCACACATAGTTCTAATTTTGTTTTCTTTTTTTTTAACTTTTTTTTTTTGGAGGAGGATTAGCCCTGAGCTAACATCTGCTGCCAATCCTCCTCTTTTTGCTGAGGAAGACTGGCCCTGAGCTAACATCCGTGCCCATCTTCCTCTACTTTATATGTGGGATGCATGCCACAGCATGGCTTGACAAGTGGTACATAGGTCTGCACCCAGGATCCGAACCTGCGAACTCTGGGCCACTGAAGCAGAATGTGGGAACTTAACCACTGTGCCACCGGGCTGGCCCCTCCAATTTTTTTTCTTGTGATGAGAACTTTTAAGATCTACTCTCTTAGCAACTTTCAAATATACGATACACTATTATTAACCATAGTCACCATGCTGCACACTACATCCCATGGCTTACTTAAAAAAATAGGGAATGCTTCACGAATCTGTGTCATCCTTGCACAGGGGCCATTCTCGTCTTCTCTGTATTGTTCCGATTTTAGTATATGTGCTGCCGAAGGGAGTACTTTTTTCTTAATTTTTTTTAGCTTCATTGAGGTATAATTGACAAATAAAATTGTATGTATTAGGTTGTACAGTATGATGATTTGACATATGGATACTTTGTGAAATGTTTACCACAATCGGGTTAACTAACACATTGAGGCCACATTTTATCACTATTTGTTTTTCCCTAGAAGAAAAGATACTAGAATTCTCCCTCTTTATTCTTTGTCTCTGTCTTGGATCTCCCAGGGCCGCTAGAGTCTGCATTTTGTAGAGAAGAATATCCTCCCAAACTACTTACTCAAAACCGATACTGTAAGTTATAGCTTATGTAAGACACAAACTAACTTTAACATAGACAGTAAAAAGAAGGACAAGGAGAAGGAAAAAAAAGAGAAAAACAGTGAAAGAAAAATAAAATAGCAATGATCTCTGACGTGCATTCTTTTCATTTTCACAAAACTTCATCCATTTTGGATTGACACTTTCATTGCCTCTTAAATGCAGCATTACGCATTTTCACCCATGTCAAAGATGACCTCAAGCTACCATCCGGTGAGGTTTGCCTGTTTATCACTACAGAGCGGAGGATGGGCCTGGCCCACCGTCAAGGCCTGCATTATGCTGTAGTTGTGGGGAAAACAGTTGTCACCCCACCTTGCTTCAGGTACACTTTTCAGTCTTGCCAACCAAGTTTCAGATTTGGGGACAGTCCACTCATCTTCTGTGGCCACCACAGAAAGGTCTGGGGAGAGGTGGCCTACCCATGGGAGGGCGTTCTCTTGGCCAGTGGCTGACTGGCAGAGACAGTAGCCACCTCCTACTGTAGCCTGGATACCAGTCAGGGTTCTTCCCCTCCCTGGACTCAAGGACGGCAGTTCCTGGAAAAATCGCGATTAGGAATTTTACAATATATTTTATCAAACTAGAAGAAAGTCTATTTTCAACACACTTTCAGGACCAGAGTGTCTGGAGCAGGGGATCCTCTGAAAATGAAATCCCCAGCTTATTGCCTTTTTTATATCACAAAACAAAACTTCTCATGGTGAAAAGTACAGATGAAGAAAAGCAATAAAAATTAAAAACCTTTTATTGTACCTACTCAGAGATAAACGTGGTGAATACTTTGGTATGTGTCCTTCCAGAATATTATCTGTGTGAACATACACACATACACGTGAGAAACTTTTTTCAGACATGAGCTCATTTCCATTAACAATATAACGTTAAGTAACATCTTTTCAAATCAATACAATAGTCTAGTGCATAATTTTCATGGTTCTTTTCCAATAGCTTTAAAACATGCTCAAGTCTCTTCTGTCTTAAAAACCTTCCCCTATAACATACCTAGGTACCATTCTTGATGTCCAGCAGTTACCACCTGAGCTGTCTTCCCTTTCAGAGAAAACTTCTTGAAGAGTTATCTACCCTTCCCCCTCAGTCTCCAGTCTGTGGCAATGTGACTTGTGTCCTCATCAGCTACAGAAACTTCTCATCAAAGTCGCCCATGACTTCCTTACTCTCAAAGTCTATGAAAACATTGCTCCACATCCTTTGCTTAACTTTCTGGAAGCTTCTGACATTGCTGACTGCTGTCTCTCCTTTGAGGTTCTCTCTTTGGCTGTTTTCTATATTCTTCTGGGTTTCCTTGTACTTCTCTGATCACCCCTGGTTGGCCGTTGGTGAGGGATCCTTATCCCTTAAATATTTCTTTTCCTCTGGGCCCTGCCTAGGCACCTCTCTCGCTTGCCTTATTCTCTCTGGACAGTCTCACACGTTCCTGTGGTGTCAGTGCCCTGTGTGTTGATGATCCCCACTTCCTCCCCTGTGGTGCAGACCTCTCCCCTGAGCACCACACTCACGTACATAACTGGCCCTTGGACGTGGAACCAGCTGCAGGTTTCACAGGCATCTCAAACTCATCCTTTAAAAGTAAACTGCTATTTCTTGCTCTGTGTGCCCCTAATCTGCCCCTCCTGTGTTCCCTGTCTCAGTGAATGGAAGCGTCATTGACCAGTCATCAAACAAGAACCTGGTTGGGTTTGAAGACATCTTGTACTCCTCTTGTTCTCCACCCAAATAATCATCAACTTTTCCCTATCTTGCCTCTAAATAACACTTGGATCTACCCAATTCCATTCTCATTGCCACGATCCCATTTCAGGCCCTTTATATCTTGCCTTTATTCTAAGAAAAATGATAATATTTTGGGTATATTTGATTAAATAAAGTATATTATTAAAATTAATTTCTCTTGTTTTTTCCTTCTCTTTATATACATATATATATATTTTTTTTTTGCTGAGGAAGATTGGTCCTGAGCTAACATCTGTGCCAATCCTCCTCTATTTTGCATGTGGGACGCTGCCACAGGATGGCTTGATGAGTGGTGTGTAGGATTGTGCCTGGGATTTGAACCAGCAAACCCTGGGCCACCAAAGTGGAGCATGTGAACTTAACCACTATGACACTGGGCTGGCTCCTTCTTCTATTTTTTTTTTTTTTTGAGGAAGATTAGCCCTGAGCTAACATCTGTGCTCATCCTCCTCTACTTTATATGTGGGACACCTACCACAGCCTGGCTTGACAAGCGGTGTGTAAGTCTGCAGCTGGGATCCCAATTGGCGAACCCTGGGCCACTGAAGTGGAATGTGTGAACTTAACTGCTGTGCCACTGGGCTGGCGCCCATTCTTCTATTTTTAATGTGGCTACTAAAAAAGGTAAAATTACTTCTGTATCTCATATTATATTTTTATTGGACAGCACTGATCTATACCCTAACTCTCAAGCCTCTTTTTGTATTACTTGAATTTTACTTTTTGAATGCTCCTGAGCTTAAAAAGTATTGGAATTTAATTAATCCATGGTATTATTTGGGGTTAACTGGCCCAATACTAGTTACAACAGTCCAAAGTTTATTACACCTTATTCTGTCCTCCCTTTCTTCCTTCCTCCCATCCTTTCCTCTCCAAGTAAAAATGCCCTTGTCCATTCATATTCTCTTCTGTGCTATAGTCTAACGCACGTAGGTTTTATCATGCAACATAGTGACTTCCTTACCTGTCTGTCTTCCCTTCTAGACTGTGAACTCTTAGTGGCAGGAGCCATATCTTAATCATCTTTGCATTCCCAGACCCCAGTAGGTGCCTGTCACATAGTAGTGTCTCAATAAATATAGTTTGAGAGTGTGACTCTAAACAACCAGAGTCCTAAAACTTGAATTAATTCTTCCTCTGAAAAAGTATTTGTAGTTAATATTTTCCCCCGAAAATGAAAACCTTTTTTTTACTTGTAAAAGAAATATCTGACATACTTTCAAATAATGCAGTCATATAAAATAGAAATTGGCAGTCCTCCGGAAAAGCCCAGTGTCAGAATTACGAACTTTATCACAGAGTTCAGCATTACCGTCAAGGCACTCTGGTTACTGGCCTCTAGGGGGCAGACTTGAGCCGACATTAAGACAGCACATGCCGGGCACAGAGAAGCCTCAGTGTCTGCACAATGACAGTCACCACCTCTGCTTTCAAGCAGAAACGAGAGGACCGCAGCATTTCCTATCAAAACGCTCAAAGGTTGGATTTAACATTAAATGTAGGGTAATTTTTATGACTTATTAATGTATTTACAGGTACACATAATGGAAGATAATAAACTGGTTATCTCCATGGGGCACAAACGGAGAAAGAGGGCTTAAAATACTGTGCAGATGATTTACATTTGTAAAATGGGGAATTTTAAATTGATGAAGGGAGAGAGAATGAATTCTAATTTTCTGTCTTTGGAGTTTTTAACATCCTATTTTAACCTTGGATTATATAACTCTATTTTGGCTGAGTTCCTGCTATAGCTTTGGAGCCAGTTATCATATGAATTGTCTGAACACAGTTCTGCCCCATCTGCACATGTGGAGACATGAAGAAAAAAACAATAGTGAATGGGAGCCCTTGTGCACTGTTGGTGGGAATGTAAACTGGTGTAGCCACTATGGAAAACAGTATGGAGGCTTCTCAAAAAATTAAAAATAGAAGTACCATGTGATCCAGCAATTCCGCTTTTGGCATTGATCTGAAGGGAACAAAAACCACTAACTTGAAAACATATCTGCACCCCCATGTTCATAGCAGCATTATCTACAATAGCCAAGATATGCAAAATGCCTAAGTGTCCATTGATGGATGCATGGACAGAGAAATTGTAGTATATATGCATGATGGAATATTATTCAGCCATAAAAAAGAAAGAAATCCTGCCATTTGTGACAACATGGATGGATCTTGAGGGCATTATGCCAAGTGAAATGAGTCAGACAAAGACAAATACTGTATGATCTTGCGCATGTGGAATCTAAAACACACAAACACACACAGACAAAACCAAGCTCATAGATACAGAGAAAGGATTGGTGGTTGCCAGAAGCAGGTGTGTGTGTGCGCGTGCATGCATGCACATGTGGTATTGGTGAAGGGCATCAAATGGTACAAACTTCCAGTTATGAAATAAATAAGTCCCAGGGATGTAATGTATAGCATGGTGACTATAGTTAATAATACTCTATTGTATATTTAAAAGTTACTAAGATCTTAAAAGTTCTCATCACAAGAAAAAAAATTGTAACTATGTGTAGTGATACATGTTAATTAGCCTTATTGTGGTGATCATTGCACAATATATACAAATATCAAATCATTATGTGTACACCTGAAACTAATATATGTCAATTACATGTCAATAAAAATACAAGCAAATAAACAAAAACACTAGTGAGCTGTGGACCCCTCTATTTTTACCAGCCTCTTTCCCCCAGCTTGTGCACACACGTGATCCCGCAGCTCCTGCGTGGCTTATACTCCAGACTGCCGCCGCGCTTTGCTTTGGCTCATGACCTCTGAGTTTCTCCCTTGCTTGCTAATTGCCAGGATTTACTTGTTCATTCAACAAGATATTTTGACTGCCTGTGCTGTGCTGGGGAGACAACAGTGAGCAAGACAGATAAAAACCCCGTCTTCCAGTAGCTAA